TACTTCCCGTCATGCTCATAAAGTAAGGAGTAGTAGATTTATGATCTCATTTAGCTCTGGCTTTACAGCATCCCACTCCGAGGTCGGCCTAATGAAACGCCAGAGGAAGTCCATCCCGGGACTTTCCACAGTGATACCAGCAGTTCAAATGTCTAATTGGATAATCTCTCTGAACTTTGTTAGTCGTTAACAACATACAAGCGTTTTTGCACCACAGAGAATCGCTCAAGTTGTTGGGTTAGTTAAATACCACCATGGTTATATTAGGGATGGGGCTTGACCAAAGGAAGAACCCACAAAATGTTTGTGCAGATCGAGATCAGGGGCGGATTCAGGATTTTTATTTCTCGCTTTCATTAACATTGGCATTTTTTTTTCTCCATTGATTTTTAAGAGAATATTAGTTAAAGTTATACATGTTAAGGGATGTGATTTATTTTAATCTCGTACACACAAGTTAATTAACTTTTTTGGAACAAGATACTGTATGTGTATATTTGATTTTATGACATTCAAAGGAAAAAACAAAGTTCTCCATCACAGTTGATGTATCTTGAGCCAACATGTAAATAATTGTGCGCACAAGATATTTATCCTGTGCAAACAAATAAATATCTTGTGCACACAAGATTAAAAAATGTGTTGTATGTTTTGGGACTTATCAGGATCTAGTGAATTTAAATGTTTCATAGCTGAGGTATTCTAGTTTTTATAATGGTTGCAAACACTTCCCACGTGAGTGTCGGCTGCTGACGATGTATTTGGGGGATCGGAGCTCTTTTGTCTACAGTTTACAGGAGGCAGAGGAAACCTGTTGGAACAGGATTTGGTTTCTACTTTATAGCTTACGACTGACCACACCCTCTCAACCAATCTCGTCTTCTCCCCTCTGAGAGGAAGTTGTCATTCAGCATTATAACTGGGCAGCATTTCATCTAAGCTAGAGGAAATTAGAGCCAGTGCTCTCCCAACACTGTCAGCCTTTCTGAAACCACAACTCTTCCTCATCAGTGTATCAGTGACTTTTAATCCAGTTTCAATTAGGGGACACGGCAGCAGCAGCAGATGATGTGGGGGCTTCACAGACCCTGGCTGTCTGATGTGATGCCATGGGAACAGTGGGGACCCAGAGGTTGTGCGAATGGGGCCAAGCCAGAAAAATCTTTAAGAGTAATTTTCACTTTACTGAGCAAGCCCAATTGATTTTTCATCTCTATTGCCCTCTGTGGTTTCCTGTTGTTTTCATTGCTGCTGTCGTCCACCTTAATGGGCTCTTGCACGACAGCCATGACGGCTTCAAATCTGGCACTTACATATTCTATTTCATCCCTCATGTGTAATGGATACATTTCTGCAACCGTGAACTTAACATCTCTTCTCTTCAGATTCCAAAGAAAGTGTTGTGTTTGTTTCTGGGAGGAAAAGGATTATCACCAAGACCTGAAGTGCTCCCAGCTAGCCGCTGATAGCTCCATGATGATAGTACAGGTTACTGCCTGCAGTACTGACTATATATTCTTCTATTAATTTGATATATTTAATTTTATTCTTTTTTTATGTTGTTATTTTAGCTATCAAAATCCATTTACTGTATTTTATTAGCAGTGTTTTTATTTGTTTTCTCTTACTTTTTTTGTCATTTGTGAAGCACTTTGAACTACACTAACCTGCATGAAAGGTGCTATGCAATTAAAGTTTGACTGACTGATTGATTGATACATTATGCAAATATTAGACCCTCTTTATTTCCCTCTGCATACCCTGAATATAATTCTGGATGACATTAAATATTGAGGAAGTTGTTTTTCCCAACACTAATGAGATGTGTGATAGGCTGCATGGTTTGAACACCATGTTAAATGAGCCAATGTCAATGACCCACTCTTCACTACAGAGAGAGGACTTAATCATATTTGCATAAACAAGCCAGAGTTCAAAAACATATGCAAGTTTACCACTTGCACTCCGGGAGATCAGTGGCTTATGAGCACTGATATATAGATCTCTCTGCAGCCACCTCAGCCACAAAGCATACTGTATATAGGGACAAAGCACATTTGCATTTAAGAATTACCTCCTCCCTCCTGCTCTTTAAACGGCCACTGTGATGAGAATGGGGGAAGTAAGCGCAGAATGGATAGGTGGGTGGTAATGAAATTGGAGCCGATTCAAATATGCTCTTAATTTCAGCCCAGCATTTATGAAACATTAATGAAGAGAAGACGTGTTGCTGCGAAAAACTCTCCAGCTTGGGAAAAGCAGACAAGGAGCAGAGCGAGGTTTTAAACATGTTGGGAAAAAAAGCATTATGATAATGAAGCTGACATGCCTCCGATATTACTTATAGCTTATTAGTGCCCACTATGTAATACATCATAAAAAAAGTCAGTGTGGCACCAACTGTGGCTCCCTTTCAAGCTGATAGCGGTATGAAAAATTGATGCACTCCTCAGCATCCATTTGCGAGAGTCTTTCTTAAGGAAAAGTGAATATCTGGTGCGTAGGCAGACAACCCCCACATGTATGGATATGAGGTAATTTTTATTGAAGGCAGGAGGCTGCATATACCCTCAGAGTGAGTAACTTAAGTGGATTGTGCAGTTTGCCAAACTAACCTCCACCTGTTAACACTGCAGGACATCAAACCTAATGAAAAGCCAGCGTGCCCTGCTGAGGCCTCTCGATCCACGGTCTTACACACATCCACAATTCTGTAGCAGCCGTTTGCTCTGCAGATCTGCAGTAATCATGCGTTTCAGCCTCGAGGATTTCCAAACAAACCCTCCAGGTAGTGGATGTTGTAGTAGTATAGCTGCAGTTTTAAATGCATGTCAAAATGCATACATTATTAAACTCTGTGGGAATTTGTGTGAATAGTGCATGTACAAGCATGCACATATGTGCTGTTTTTGCATGTGCATCAGCAGATATGAACAGGCATCCTCACAGTACCAGCTTTAACCCTTAAGACGGGTACTCATACACTCACACACATGCCACAATAAATAAGTCCTGACAGTGAGGGAGATGCGGGCAGAGAAGCAGACAGAGGGAAAAGAATCTCACCGCCCCACCGGCAATGGCAGAATGAAATAGACAGTCAGATGTGGTTGAAAGAAATTTGAGGAGGCTCTGCCGTGGACGCTCTATCTTTTGTCTCATCTTCACTCCAAGTCTGGCCTCTGCAGACCTCTGTCATCACTCCAACTAACAGCGGTCTGATACTGGATTTCATCACAGAAGGAAGACTAATGATAAGAAAAGTGCTGACTGACGGGGGGGGGGGGCTGTCCAGGTCACAACAAGGACTGGCAGCACACTGGCTCACAAATATTAAGAATAATGGAATGATAATTCACCAAGAGTGCCAGTAATACTGTGCACAGTACTCATTCAGTCATACTGAAATATTATTCATGTATGTGTGAAGAGAAAATATGAATAGAATATTACTCCTTACTCACTTTAATTAAATTTAGATGTATTAATTTTAAAAATGTATGAGTCTACTCGATATACTATGAATATAATACAATGAAATGGGTGAGGTGTATAAATCCAGGGTTGATATTACAGCATATTTAAGTTGCTCATGTACCTATAATGTGCCACAATTCATCTTAACTGATCTAAAATTCACTCTTTCTCAGAGTGAGGGGGAGAAATGGCGAAAAGCAGGCAGTGCAGGAGAGGAAAAGAGAGAGAGAGAGAGTGCGGAAGAGGGGGTGGCGTGCCAAGGGATTGGCAGGAGTGACAAGATGTGACAGTGAGCACATTGGCTCGCAGGGTGGTTGCTACTTTACACTCCAATCACACAGTCCCCCTGTCCCCCAAGACATTTTAATCTGATCCCCCCAACCTAAGGAGACGAGAGCACAGCACAACGCCGCTCGGAGGAAAGGCGGGAGGGCGGCACTGAGCCGAGCCACAAGATCTTTTTTCAAGCCTTTTCCTTCCACTTACGTGGATGGGCCTTTAATTTCATCACTAAAATGGCTGCTATGTCTCTCATTCCATTTTGCTTTATATGCTAAGCCTGTGTAGATGCAGTGTGAATGAATGGATCACCCAGGCTCGGCCTATGAGACAAAACTGTGCGTTTGTGCGTGTGTGTACGTGCATGTGAGCGCACAGCACTACATTTGATTGGATTAGTCAGAGAGAGACATCCATCCTTTCAGCCTCGCCCCTCCTCCGCTGGTAACGGGCTGCATTATCGATTTCGAACAGCTCCATTTCCTCTCTACGTCCAAACTTATTAGATGCTCTGCTTTCACACAACCTGGCCTGATCCCCCCTTCTTCCCCTTTTCTTTGATATCCCCATTTTCCTCCCATTTTGTTGGAGTTGTGTTGTGGTTTTGTGTGTGTGTTTTTTTTTATCTCTGTGTCTTTCCCACTAATATTCTTGTCCTATCTAGACCTGCACCAGTCTCTGCTTCTTTTCTCTATCTTCTATTTTCTATCTGACTCTTTTATCCTTCATCTATACGTCATCCTGAGTCTTTACTGCTACGAGCACTATTCTTCTGTCAATCTCTTTCCTTTATGCTCTCGATTTAAAATTAGACTGCGAGAAAAGTGATTTTACTAGTTGGAGGGATCAATTGCCATTAATTGCCTTTGGGGAGGAGTAATTTTTGGCAGGGATGCAAGAGAGAGAAGAAATGCCATGGAGAAATTATGACTTTGCTGCTAACTGATGGTGACAGAATGGGCACAACCAATCACGATATGGAATGCATTAAAGAGTCTTTTTTATCTCCAAACACTCTCTACAACACTTTCAAGTATTAGATACATTTATTAGTTTAGAAATGTTTTATATGGGTGGAACACTTTTCAGATTACTGTTGATACATGCTGGCAGAGTAAAATATCTTGTCTTCCCTCATGCATTTTGAAAAGCCTGCTAAGAAGCGGCATACATAAACAACAGCAGACAGATGCAAACGGTTCCTTCTTGTGGTCTAAGATGAATATGTCTCTGTGTTTGTGCAGGCTCTGTACCCGAGCCCAGAGGAGGGCTGGCAGATCTACAGCTCGGCACAGGACGCAGATGGGAAGTGTGTCTGTACCGTGGTCGCACCGGCCCAGAACATGTGTAACCGCGACCCACGCAGCAGACAGCTTCGTCAGCTCATGGAGAAGGTGACAGCTGCCAATAAAACACTCACTCAGAGACACGACTGTGACCCACACAAACTGCCGCACAGCACTGAGCTCGAGTACAGCACGATCTGTCACGCATAGACTGCTGAAGTGAAATCACTTCCTGCCAACAGTCATGCAGATAAATATGAAGGCAATCAGAAGACTTGCCGTTTTTGGTTGAACTATTTTTTTCTTATTATTAAGTTTGCTTTAAAGGGTTCACCAAAACCCTTCTGGAGTTTCAGGGGTAAACAGTGTTGCAGCCGAATCCAATACAATTGAAGTAACCAGCAACCTAGACTTTAGACGTAATAAAACCACCTAAAAAACATAACATGACTCCATACTGGTGTCGCCCAAATCTCCCTACGCCTCGACGTTCATATTCGACTCGAAACAAGTTAATTTAAAGACACTTGGATGACCCCACGCATGCAGTATGGAGGCATGTTGTGTTTTTTCTGTTGTTTTTTTATGTCTGAAGAAGAGGTCACACTGTTTACCCCTGAAACTTCTAAAGTGCTTTGTGGACTCAAACACTTCACCCATCCCTCGTTCGGCATAGTGGTGAGTAGATAATGAGTGAATTTGAATTTTTCCAAGGGAAGTGTCCTAAACGTACCCATGAAATTGGGTTCATTGAGCCTTGGCCTTATGTGTCTTTTATAGATTTAAATGCATAAGATAAAAAAAAGAAATGAACCGTTTCACAATTTAGTGAAGATAGCAAATGCTTTGTTTGCATAGTTACACAGTAAATACACCGTATAGTTTCACAAGATGTTACATACCTAGGCTTGTGCAGCAATCATATCAATTTTTTGTGCATTGTTGTATCTTGTATAACAAATAAATCGAATGTCATACAAAAACATGTACATGCGTACCACCCTCAAGGATGTTACATGCTTCAGCAAATAGACAGTAAATCTATATACTATGAGAGTTGTTGGCCTATACTGCAGCGCTGTGTGTATGGAAATGTAATTCCCTGCTAGTGTCTAGTACACAAACACACAGGGATCATGGGTGAGTCGGCAGGCTGCTGCTTGTTGACTCTCCTGATCTGTTACTTCATATATTGGTGGTTTGCAGGAATGACATCAGTGTCTTTGCTAAAATAGATAATAAAATAAACTGAGAAATGATACTTTCTCCAACTTGGTGAACCACATTTCCCTGGGCTGCCACACTGCTGTCCCCAGGTCTGTAGCTCATTTACACCAGAACTGTTTTTTTTTTTTTTKTGGACACTCAAAGCCAGAAAATGGGTGAACAATTCACAGAGCGAAAGCCCGGCAGCACAGAGGGAGAAGAAAGTGGGTGAGATAGTGGGAGCTGACATTGATGTGGTCTTGTGAGGAGAGGTGGTGGTAAATTGAGATGCTGAATGGGCTCCGAGTTCCTGATGGATCAATGAAACACCTGAATTCACATATTGCGTTAATTCTCAGTGAAGTTTGCCTGCTCCCCTGACAGTCTCTGCCTACTGCTGTTTCAAGCTCATGTTCATGCCGACAAAACCCACACTCATTCACACTTTATAAGCAGCAGATTCTAACAGGCAGGAATATTCGGGGAAAAAGACAAAGTTAACCAAGCTATTCAGAGAAAAGGACTGTGTTCACATAGATATATGCATTAATGTATATGCAGTATGGACTATATATCTTTATTTACCGTTATATACTGTATATATTATTGGTAATGCTCATGTAGCACATGACAAGTGAGGTTAATTGCAGGTTGAAGTACAGCACATGCTTGAAACTTGTCCATGTGTCTACCTACGTGGGTTTCAAAATTCTCAGGTAAATACAGTACCTTGAAAGGTTCAGTGTGTAGAATTTTCTGGTGGTGAAGTTGAATGTTGCAGCTGAACACCCCTCAACTCACCCTCGTCTTCTATGCATGAAAGAGAACCTGTGGTAGCCTTCAGTTGTCATTAAAAGTCAAAAGGTGTTTAGTTTGTCCAGTTTAGGCTACTGTAAAAAACATGGAGGCCTCCATAGAGAGGACCCCCTCCCAGTGTAAATATAAGGTATTTAAATATACAATTCGTACTATTTAGATGAAACACACCAGTGAAAACATCACTAGAATTATTATATATTCAATTTCTGCCAAATGATCCCTTTCACCTAAATCTTACACATTGAACCTTTATCAACTAATTTATGAGGGCAGGGTTTGTGCTGCTGCACCGTACAACCTGTCACCACTTACAATTGAATACAATACACAAAATAAACTTCAGAAATCACCATGGAATGAAATCACTTCTCTGACACAGTCTGAACAAACCCTGCATTTTATAAGCTATGGAAATATATGATTTATGGTTAAATTAAACAGTTTGGGTGTTTATGTTACTGCGTTTACCAATGTACACAGACATCGCTTGTAAAAAAAAAAAAAACACTTATCATGGCCAAAGGCTCCCCTGGCTAAAACAGTGCACGGCTCAGCCTAATGAGGACACCTGGGGTCAGCCCGATTTGAGTTGCACACAAATAAAAGCCACAAGTTAAAAGGCGATGTGTGTATGTGCACAGAATAGAAGCATGCTCTCTAAGATATCCTCATATGAACCCAGAGCGTGTGAGGGAATTATTTTTGCAGACCAGATCCACAAAGGCTCTCGCTGACACAGAAAGCCAAGGATACGCTAACAATGTCAAAATCGCCCTCTGTTAAAAGAATGTAAAGTAGCGAGCAAAAGCCTCTGTTCAGCTTTCTGCGAAGCCAGACAAAATGCCATCCAAAGCTAAAGTTGACCCTGAAGGACGATGGTATGAGAATGCTCACAGCGCAGACTTTTGAACACCTTGCTCCCCTTTGACCGCTCTGTCTGACTGACTGAGATAAAGTGAGACAAGGGGGGCAAAGTCCTCCATGCATACACACAAACACACTTAAGGATTTGGCAGAGGGTGCAACATTTCTCCGGATATGAGGCAGACACCTGGATTCTGGGTGGCGTGAGGGTGGAGGTGGGACACCTCATGAGAGAAGAAGAAAGAGTGAAACGTGTGGGAGGAGCGGTTCCAACTGTCACCACAACCCCGACGGATAGCGAGACTGTATTTGTGGAGATTCTAAACTGTTGGAACATTTTACTCAACATGTACTCGATCTGAACAGCTGTCAGATAGTTTTAATTGGTGAAGAAAATATTTACTGACCAAATATTCCCTGGTTAGTTCACAAGACATGTGGGAGATGAGTTTGATATAGAAAACACACTGGAGGCAAAGTAAACAAGTGGGCTATCAGAGAGTATAACACAAGGCATTTGGCGCAAAACAGACTTTATGCCAATTGGTGACCTTTGTAAGTTGAGACTGTTTGTGTTCTTGTTAGAGAGCAATTTGAATAAATTCCTCTGTTTGCTCAGTTTCAGCTGCGCGTGTGCGTGTGGGAGGGTGTCTTTTTTGTGCATGTGGGCTATTGGACGTACATACGCACACGTGAGCCTCCTACATGTATATGCACCGCAGCCCTGTAACATTTGTCAACGTTCGGAGGATTTCTGGCCAGTTCAGCTCAGTGCATCGCGCAGGAGATGTGGGGGTGTATGAAACAGTAGGCTGGTTATGCAGCAACAGAGTGGGCTGTCAAAGAGTGAGCAAGCTGAGTACTTAGTAACACAGAGCAAAACTGAGAACTGAGATTCAGTAAACACCGACTTTTCACCATGTTTGTTCCCCCACATGACTTCTTCTGTTTGCTATACATCTTATATCTATCTATTAACTTGTGGGCACAGTCATCGTGACACTGTAGCTTTATTCTGAGAGCAGTGGGAGAAAGGATATTTATATTCCAACTAACCACCAAAGTGGAACCTGCTTACTTTTATTGCATAATATATGCATGTGTTGTTCTTTTTTATGTATTGTCCTGATGGATTCTGGCAGCTGTGCTTCTTTCTCAACATCCTCACTTTTTAACTGGGTTACTCTTGCTTTATTGTTTCTTCTTTTTTGATTTGCTCATTGCTCGTCGCCTTTTTATTTTCTTTTGCATACATTATGTATTTTTTCTAGTGTGTTTTAAATGACTCACTTTAAGCACTTTTATACTTGGCTTTTCTTTTAAGTGACACTTTTGATGTTCTTTAAGGCCATCTCTTTTTGGATTTTTTTCTATGCAGACTATGTTACTGTCACACTGTGATTATGTTTTATTGCCACCATCATCCATCTTTTTCTCTTCTACTGCTTGTGGAGCTGAAGCTTTTACTTTACAGTTCAGTACAAGTTTGGTGCAACATGAGGCTGTAGCCAGGATTATGTTACGACTCATGAATTTAAGCAAATTCTAAAATATTTTTAAAATTTGAATACAGGAATAAGAAACTGCAAAGGCTTAGATCCCTTCAGGGAAATTTAAGTTTCCATATCACTTATCCCCAGGGAGCCGCAAGCCTTCCCAGCATGCAGTGGGTGAAAGTCAATGCGGCTGCAGTTTGCTGAAGGGCAAACCTCTTGACTGACCAAGACATTCACGCCTGTGGTCATTTCAAAGTTTTCAGTTCATCTGACCTGGGGTAAATACTGATGTCAAAGTTAACTCCCTCAAGAGGTTTGAAATAATGATAGACTGAAAAGCATCAAGTTATGTTTCCATAAATTAATTATTTTTAATTACTCTCTTAGAAATCAAAGAATATGTTGAAAACTGCTTGATTCTTGGGTCATGCCCCACCCATCAACAACATTTGCATAATCCTCCTGACAAACAAACAAATACAGCCAAAAACATCAACGCGTTGGTGACGGTAATGAAAGTTCAAGAGTTGTCCCACATGTAGCATATACATTTCAGAGCTTCAACAAACTATTTTCATTGTCAATTTGTGAACTGGTTATTTTTCTTTATTCATCATTGGGACTGTCTATAAAGAAAAAAACTGAATATATTCACATATTCTAATCATCAGCAAATCAGCTCTAATAGCAAACTAGAGCTACATGCCGGGTGAGGAAAGGATATGTTAAAACATACACTGATCCTTTCTATGATTATGATTTATACTAAATAGTAAAAATTGTTACTGACAGGAGTATTTGTGGGTGTTTCCATGTAACAGGTTCAGAACATCAGCCAGTCAATGGAGGTGCTGGACCTGCGGACATACAGAGACCTGCAGTACGTGAGGAACACCGAGAGTCTGATGAAGGTGGTGGACGGGAAGCTGAAGGTGGCTTCTGATAATCCCCGCAGTCTTAATCCAAAGGGTTTTCAGGTAATTGACTGTCGCCTCCTCCATCTCCTGCGAGTGTGTATTACTATCAAGTATAAATGCGTGTACTATTAGATGTGGCACTGCTTTTCATAGGCACACACAGACTCTGCCCGATGCACTCTCCCGCAATCTCTTTTCACTCTTAACAGACAATAAAACTTTGTATCTTGATAGACCATCGTATAGGCATCGGTACACAAATTCAATTCCAAAACTATCTCGGAGCCGTTGAGTCGTGCGGAGGAAATTTGAGCAAATTCACATGCGCCTGAATTATTAAACCCCTGGACCTGATAGTACTCCTTTCTTTACATCTTTTCCCCTTTCCAAATCTATATACTTAACATTCTGGCGTCTGCTCTTAGATTTCCAGCACATACGTATATTCCCATTTATCTCTACCTCTACCTTATCTCTCTACAAGCTAAGACTCAGCTGCCATTATCAGTGGGCCTTTTTGTCTTCCTGTCAGCCGGCTGTCTTGCCCAGACTTTCTCCATATTTCTCACACTCTTACAGATATTAGATGGACCATAAAATAGTTTGATTAAAAGATGCTTTGATAAATGCAAAGTGGGTTTTACCGCTAAGACACAGCTCGAGCACAGGGACAAGCATGAATGGCCATGTTTTGCTTTCAAGGTGTGTTTTATGAACACTATTCCAACGGAGGTAATGAAGATGTTTATGAAATTAGCCAATTCATCAGTATAGCCTGAGATGACTAAAATGCGCAGAACGGTAAGCATTATATCCCCGGACTTGTCTGAATGCAAATCCGCAATCCAATAAAAAAAAAAAAAAAGAGGAGGATTTGACCAGAGCAGGTTGGCTGATGAATGCGTGCAGCTCAAAGTTGCCAATGGCAGAGCGTGGGAGATTAACGAGACTGAATTTTCACGGCTTGAAAAGGGGAAAATGAGATTTATGATGTGGCGCCACAGGGCTGAGAGCAGCTCCATCACCAGATTTACGATAAACCTTAACAAGGAGGAAACAGCCCCTCCTGTGGTGGCCACACTTTATTGATACACCTTTTTTCTCGCTGGAGCCCTCTAACTTCCATGCAGGCAGCCTGGTTCTCCTGCTGCTCCCTGCACTCCTACCTGAGAACACATTGTTCATTTCACTTCTAAACATATGAAGCAGCTGTACTATTTTTCCTAACTGTTGATTAAAAGTGAAATCACCGGAACCCGCATAAATTCAGCTTTTCACGAGTACACAAATAGGTGGAAGTTTGATCGGTACAGTAACAATAGCGAGAAGACAAAAATATTACACAACATTCAGTTTCTTACTCAGGAAAGTGGTTACATTAAAAGATTCTGCTCTCACTCTTATCGTCTCACCCCCAGTATGCAAGATATACTTTTCATGCATTGACTTTTTTTGCTGTTTATCAAGTGTTTGTCATTCTCTGCTCATAAAGGTTTTAAAACCACAACCTTCACTTGGGGAGCAAAAACTTAAAAGATATTAATAATGGGGCATTTATCATGTAGGTATCAAAATCGATTGATATATTTTTTATCTTGATATTTCTTTCAGCTATATCGCCCTGTTTTCAATCTGATATTTTATTGCTTCTATCATTTGTTAAATGTGCTTTGCAATTCAGTTTTTCTTGACAATAAGCTTTTCTTAACATTGTGATGTCAGTGTGTTTTCCCAAAAGATTGGGGAATACATGTAATCACAGTTAATTACACCTTGGTGCAGTTCAGCTATAGTCTCATGATAAATCCAGGGTGGAACAGATGAACAATCAGGCAAAGATACGAGTTCCTGAGTGAGAGATGAGCCACAACCAGACGCAACACCTGAAGATTGAAAAGCCAGCTCCTCTCCACACAATCCGCCTGTACCGAGTCGCATGGTTGACCTCATCCCTTTGTCCTCTTTATTCTCTACGGGTTTAATCTTCTTCCCTCTTCGCGTCTCTATATCTCAGGAGTTAAAAGACAAGGTCACCCAGCTGCTCCCCCTGCTGCCAGTGCTGGAACAGTACAAGGCGGACGCCAAGATGATCCTACGTCTTCGGGAGGAGGTGAGAAATCTGTCCTTGGTGCTGATGGCTATCCAGGAAGAGATGGGGGCCTACGATTATGAGGAGCTACGCCAGAGAGTCCTGTTGCTGGAGACCAGGCTCCACTCCTGCATGCAGAAACTAGGTATGAAATGTATGCAAATGGCTGCGGGTTGGTGCGTGTACAGGCTTTGAATGCTTAATTTGAGATTCTTATACAAATATTGTGGCACTTAAACAATTAAGTCACAGCAGTGCAGAAAGGAGTTAATGATTAATTAAGTATCATTAGTGGTCAAACCTAATGCATATTGTCAACATTTCCACCGGGCTCTATCTGCATACATTAGAAACATTGTCCTCGAAACACTCAATGAATAATTGATTGTGTTCACATGTAATGTGTTAGCTTAAACTGATGATTTTACAAAATCCCACATATAGAAACTGAGGAGTCTGCAGAAAAAGACCAAAGCTACAGTGTAGCCTTTGGGTCATTAGTGTTACATTATTGTCTTACTTTGGTATAATGATGATAATTAGAAGAAAATACTACTCAGTCGATTCCTAGATAATTTTCATATGTGCTTTACAAAACAAGTAGGACAAAAGGAAACTAATACAATAATGGATACAGATTTTTTAAAGACATACACATAATATATAAGTGAACAATTCCATTAATAAGTATCTATCCAGTAACTCCAGATTTTGTGTGATTCAAATTTTTTTCTGTAAATCGCCCAGGCCATCGCCCTGTGGCAGCGGTGGCTGGGACTCATTAAAACAAGTAAGGTTGCTGACAACAGCACGTTCACAACAACTACATACTAATACTGATTCTCCAGTTTGAGGCACTGAGTTGAGCTTTCAGAGGTTCTGTGGATTGAGTCCTGCAGCTACTCTTTACTTGTAGCTCAATGACTGCAGGTCACAGTTTTCATGAAGAAAGCTGCAACCAGCATAACCACAGGCCAAGCAAACACACCATTTCCAAATCAATACATTTTTACATCACAACAGAAAATGCTTACTGAAAATCCAAAAGCTGATTAAACAACACAAAAAACAAAAGATGGAAATACATAGATTAGTATCATGAGCTGTTGTATATACGTAAGACTGTATGACATTTTACCTCTTCCCTTCTTTGACCTCCAGGCTGTGGGAAGCTCACTGGCGTCAGTAATCCCATCACAGTACGAGCATCGGGGTCCAGGTTTGGCTTCTGGATGACAGATACTATGATCCCCAGCTCAGACAACAGAGTAAGTCTCTTTTTCGAGCCACTTCCCCTCAACTCTTGTACCTTTCATTTCCTACAACCCGCTTCATAGTTCAACACACACCGACGGATAAAGTGGAACAAAAGTCACTTGCCGAGAGCAGGCCGAACTCTGTCAGTGGCTCAATGAAAAAAAAAATCCCTCGCAGCAATGCTGCCATGATACTTAAGTGGCTGATTGACTGTTTTGCCTGAGCAGGACTTCTCGTGAGCTCTGGAGGAGGAGAGACAGAGAGAGAAATGGGGATGCAAAGCTGAGTCACTGATGGATAGCATCCCTTTCCCTCCTCCCTGTCTTCCTCTGTCACCACAACTTCAGCTGATTAATCACTTCATCATCACTGCAGAGATGAATGAGTTGTGTGGGCTAAAGTTTTCTAAATCACCCAGGTAATTACTAGGAGTGTGCTGAGATGCTCTGGACCCAGATGATATAGTAATGCTTCAGCTGATTGGAGATGACATGTGGTTTTGTATGGAAGGCACATTGAATGGAATGCAGGGGACAGAGATATGAGGGGTGGGGGGGGCTGGGTGCTGCGGTGGTGGAGTTGTTGGGCCTGGTGAGTGGGGGGTGGGGGTGGTGGTTGAGCGGTCGAGAGTGGATTATTAGCCATCTGTAAGGGAGAATGGAAACCGATGAAGTTCAGGAGGAGGGATGAGGGTGGCCTTTTTCATCTCCACCCTGAATCATCGCAGGCTTAATAGATATTGCTGGCAGAAAAGGTCAATTTTCTGAGATTGAATGTCCCGATCTTTATCTTTAATCACTTGACTTTCTCAGATCACATTCGAGTCTTTAGATCAATTGCTAATTAAATTAACAGCCAGATACATCAACGCATGCCACATCAGCAACCGCAACAATCATGATAATCATATTTGAGGACAAATCTGCGTCGCTGAGGAGCCAAATAAGACGAGAGAAGGAGACGGGGAGAAAAAAGAACACACGGCCTAAATGTGCTAGAGCTTCAGCCTGGCTCAGCTCCTGCCTCCTGCTCAGCTCCTGCCTCCCGCTCAGCTCCAGGGACTCATTTAGCAGGCAGAGGAGAAACAATGCTTGATGCACCATAATCTCCCCTTCTCCATAATTCAGCTGCTGTTTACCTCACCACCCCCTACTCCTCCCATACCCCACCAGCCGCACTTTTATTAAAGAAAAGCTGCTATTTTACACCCGAGAGGGAGGCAAGTGAGCAGGGGAAGGGAGAGATATTGGAAAAGAAGTGCTTCAGAAGAATGATGGCTAAATCACAGCAAAATTCTCATTGATATATGAGGGACAAAATAAATATCTAAGCCAACAGCAGTGTAATTGAATCAATTAAAAGCTGAACTGTGCTTCGACAGAACCATTGAGGGAATAAGACGGAGGACGCAGCCGAAGAGGGGCCATGTCAGTGGAGAGATCCGCTGAGAGTGCTTGAGGAAAAAGATAGAGCTGCTAAATGGATTGATTTTCTGTAAATGTGGACTGGAAAGGGCAGGGAGCACGGGCAGTGGTTGACTGCAAAGTGCAGGCATCGTCTTCACACACACACACACGAGATCAATAGTTCAGCACAAATATTCAAATATGCACAAATGCATGAAGGCATACACTCACACTCCACCAGAGATTTACCACATACACACTTACTTTGCTCAGGGCGATGCCACCAGCTACAATGATGGCAGCAGAGTTCTTGCAGAGAGTTGTGCCATATATAGCACAACAATAATATCCAATAACCTTCACCTTCACATGAAATACTTTAGTTTCTTCCTTTTCTCCTCAGTCGGATTCATCTGTCCTCTTTTCACAGGTGTGGTCGATGGATGGTTACTTCAAGGGACGTCGTGTCCTGGAATACCGCACAATGAATGATTTCATGAAGGGCCAGAACTTTGTGCAGCACCTGCTGCCTCACCCCTGGGCAGGCACTGGCCACGTGGTTTACAACGGCTCGCTGTACTACAACAAGTACCAGAGCAACATCATCATCAAGTACCACTTCCGCTCTCGGAGTGTGCTGGTGCAGCGCAGCCTGAGTGGGGCCGGATATAACAACACCTTTCCCTACTCCTGGGGTGGCTCCTCTGACATCGACCTCATGGCGGATGAAAATGGCCTGTGGGCCGTTTATACCACCATCCCCAACGCTGGGAACATTGTCATCAGCCGCCTGGAGCCGCAGAGTCTGGAAGTGCTGCAGACATGGGACACAGGTTTTCCCAAGCGCAGTGCTGGAGAGTCCTTCATGATCTGCGGTACACTTTACGTCACCAACTCCCACCTGGCTGGTGCCAAGATCTACTTTGCCTACTACACCAACACGTCGAGCTACGAGTACACAGACATCCCCTTCCACAATCAATACTCCCACATCTCCATGATGGACTACAACCCCAGGGAGAGGGTCCTGTACACCTGGAACAACGGACACCAGGTGCTCTATAACGTCACACTGTTCCAGGTTATTAAGACTTCTGGTGACTGAGAACCCTCAGACTGACCCACTCAAATAATGCTGTGATCAATGTTCGGGGGGGGGCACGGGTGGAGGTGGGACTCTTGGGTGGTGTGGGTTGAAGGGGGGGTTCAGTGTATGGGCATAGAATTGGATTTTTTAAAAAGAATTTCAATCTTCATAGAGTGCTATTATTCACATTCTCATAAAACACTCCGACAGCAAGGTCCGTAAACATACAAAGACTGAGCGCTTCTCTTTTTTTCCGTTCTGTGGTGAGTAAGCATGGTTCTTTTTATTTGTGATGAGAAATAAATGTCAATCTTTACCATTCATGGCTTTGTATTGAATTGTCACTTTCATTTTAAAAAGACCTTCACTGCATTTTGAGGGTGTAAACAAAAAAGGAGGGAATGCCTGAGTTTTAAAATATGGAGTGTACTGCCAAGACAGGTGCTTCTTACAAGACATAACATTTCTCTCTTTTTATATTAGGATTAATTTTACTTTTGTTTTTTTCTAAAATGAAGAGGGCACAAATATGTATTCCTTCTTAACTCAAACCAAAGAAAGTCAAACAAAATTCCTGGATCATGTATTTGGATCGACTTCATAATGGAATGGGCTCTTTCTTGGGGCCATGTCCCAGCCATTCACAAAGTTTAATTGAAATTGGTTCAGTTTTGTGTAATCCTGACTAAACTAACTAACACAGTTGAAAACATAACGTCCTTGGCTGAGGTAAATAAACAACTCTTAAAATTTGTTGAATAGTACTGCTTCAAAAAAATGATAATACTGGAATAATATTTTGCTGATATTGAGTACCTATTACAGCCGAGACATAAACTACTGAGGTGACAGCATGAGGCAATTTCTTGGGCTGCATTGATCCATACCTCTGAAGACTCTTCATACATCATACAACAGCACGCTTCCACACATATACATGCGTGTGTTTTGCAAGGTGAGCTGAAATGAAAGAAAACATCAAGTAAAACTGTGAACGGTAGAGAGGCACAAACTGGGAAGGAGATTGAATGTAAAAGGGAAATCTAAGGGCATTAACATCAGAGCTGAGAAACGAGCCTTCACACTTATTGTTGCTTGTCAAGCTCCAATCTGCTTTAATCCTGTTAGTCGCACAGCTCTTCTCAGGTGCTATCTGCAGAGAAATGTTCCAACACAAGGCACACAGTGGGACACATGAAAGTCTCAAGCTGCAGACCTTTCATTGCAACTTTTATTTTAACTATTTGTTACTGAAAATCTGGAAAAAGCCAACAGCCCATCCTTGCATCCTTCTGTTCATTTCATTAAAAAAAAAGGCTTGTGAGGATGCATGCCGTTCTTTGTAGAGGCTGCGGTGGATAAAGTAGACAGAAAATAAAATAGAAGGTTCCACGTTTCTTTTCTTCTCCTGTGGAACCATGGTGATCCTATTCATCCACGGTGACCTTTCCGTCAATAAAAGAGCTGTGCTGGAGAGGACCCTGGTGAGTTCATACACAGTGGAGGCTGACATTTAAAGCACAACTGCGATACAATATAGAGCATCTACAGTCTCAGCTAGATACAGTGGATGAACTCCACAGTGTGAGGAAAAATAAATGTTATAGAGATGTATCTAGCAAAATGTGGGTATTGATGTTACTGGTTAATAAAGAGATTTTTAAATGGTTAACATGGCTGACATTGATCTGTAGTTACACATGAATATATACAACTGAGTGGGAGACTGTGATTTTGCTGTCCTGAGATCAGAACTCCCACTTTCCAAATCAAAAATAAAGAGGCGACTCCACTGGCCAGTCATGGTGGTTACTCATTGTAAAAAAAACAAAAGAAGTGTTTCACACGTAATCTTTTAGCAAAGTGTGGACATAAAAGTTTCACCAATACACAGTTATTTAATGTCAGGCATGAACGGTTCAAACAGGCCAAACACTTTACAGCAAACAAACTTTTCCTTTAAAGAGAAAGAAGTCAAGGAAATTTTGACTGCACACAGTTAAAGAAGTCTCTGCCATCAAACAAACTGAGAAATAAAAGTCAGCAGACCGAAATGATGCACTCGTTTAAGAAATACAGAAGGAACAACGACCCATTTACGTCCATATTCTGCTCACAAAAGACCTGCAACGAAATCCACAACAGAAATTAAGGATATAGAACCCAAACTAAAGAACAAAAAAATTGTTTTCATCTATTTAAACTTAAGGTGTAAGTAAAAACACTCTGATGCATTTAGTTACAATAAAAAAGAAATACAGATCAAGTTATTGCCACCCTCCCACTTATCTTTCTTAAGCAATATTGTCTCCTCACCTTTTCCATTTTGATTATTTTTTATTAGAAATTCGAATGTTGCTGGGAGGGAAATGGAAAAAAAGTAGAGCACGAAAGAAAAAGTTTGTTGACAACTTTTTTCATCAAAAAATCAATTACTGTGAGTGTCTGCTGCTAAGCAGTATAAGCATGGCCTGAAGCATTTGAGAGGCAAACATTAGCTCCATAAGCACGAGTGAGGGAGGTGTTGTGCTAACTAAAGCTTAGAGCCAAGAGCCAGTAAGTGTTGTCATAATAACCATAAAGATCAGGGGTATTATGATTATGGTTGTCCCCATTTCAGCATTGTATCATTGCATCTGAGTCAGAATATATAGATCATCCCTAGTAAAGGTGCACAACACATGATGAGGAGCATCAGCACTTGCATGTCGCCTTTACTAAGTGATCTCCTTCAGGGTTAAAAGAAAAGATGGATGGAAAACGATGAAGGTGTGATTGAGTGTGTAAATCTCTGAAAGCCAAGAATCACATATAGAGATGGTTTATCTGTAACACTGTGCAACACAACAAGCGTCAAACCTGTCTGTTTATCACAGCTCTAGAGTTTCCCTTAAATACAACATCTTTATTTCCGTTGATTCAAAGCACAGACGGCCTGTGCTGAGACAGCCGTCACTGAAGCTACAGAGTCTGGAGAGCGCGGCAGTCCCGAGACGTTCACACCACCGGCACTGGTGGACAGCTGGGGCTGAAGCAACCTTGTCGGAGGACATGGACTGGCAGGAGGACGGGGGAACGTCTCTGAATAATACACGTGGTGGTTTAGGGGTTTAGTTTCAGCATAGACTTGAAAATGAGCCCAGCGTTTCAGATTTCTACTTGAGCAGTTGGTGGTGGCGGCCCCAACATTTGACTGGAGGGTTTTAACTTTTTCATATATGTATATAAATGTCATGACGTGGAGACATGCAAAACGGTTGTCTCTATGGCATCAGCCATGCAAGGTCCAAGTTGGTTTAAGACACTATGTGGTGTTATGATCAATGTTCCTTTTTAGTGTGCAGTATCTCTTTAGAAAATTGTGCATATCACATTTAGCTGCAGATGAGCATGGAGACATATTCACAAGATAAATGGTAAATTTGTGTAGTAACAGTTAAATAACTCATATTACTACATTTAGTATGAGTCAGCAGTGTCAACTGGGAGGATGAATGAAAACTGTGGTGCAAGAGAAAAGTTGCTAATACAAGATACCAATGATTAGTTATTGGTTTTGTGTCACCAAGCCCCTGATTTATGTTTAGTACTAAACTGGAGAAAGTAAATTGGGAAAGTCTGGACCTAAATGTGAAGCTTCAAGTTTTCCATGATGTTTTCACTGACCTTGAACAATAAACGAGCAAATGACCCTTAAATCTCCATTGTGAGCTTAAGTGAGAGTGAATCCAGTTTACTCAAGAGAAATGCACAATTTGCAAAGTTGGCAGCCAAACAGTGACTGAGGAAAACGCTTTTTAAAAAAATCCATGAGGATCATTTATAAACATAATCACATGAGAGCTCTAAATGGTGCAGAAAGACAACTCAGATTATAACCAAGTTCATTATTGTTAAAATATGTCAGGGTACAATGACTGTCCTTGATGCCAAAGGAGAATATCATAATGAATTTGGCATCTGGAGACAGTACAGCCCACTCAGTACAGTAAAGCAGGTAAATTTAATAGTGCAATTAATAATTTAGACTTTGCATAGCCAAGGTCTTGTTGCAGAGACATAAGTAATCTTTACTGCTTAGTTCCTCACAAATGCAGGGACTAGTTAATAGATAGTAAATATTTACTGTACGCAAACTCTTATATGCATGTAAGATAGCTTTGCATTACACCATATAAAACAGAAGAGTACAATTCTGGAGCTGAACTATTCCTTACGCATAATAAGGAAACTGCATCTACTTTACCTTTAAAGACCCTCCGTTTAATTCAGCACTGGTGTGGAGGTCAGCAGTGACTTTGCCAGAACAGAGTTGTGCAGGACACAAAAGAAACAACTTTTAAATATAAGTTGGCCTGAATAATAAATAACCAACGCAGACTTTTTATTCAGAGGATGTATTAATCTTCAAAAACAGAAAAAAATTGTCTCTATGAGCAGCTTGTATTAATGCAGAGCACATATCCAACATGAACAATGGACCACACACCACACGGGCGGTTTGATTTACTTAAAGTGGCTATAAGCATGCATTCTCACATGCACTCGAACTGATTGAATGCAGGTACGGCCGAGACAGCAGCGGTTTGATAGAGTGAAAAGGCATGGGCTTCACAGGCAGCAACAGAGACCTCAATTCCTGAACTAAGAAGAAGCCCAGTTTCCACTTAAATCATGCAGGAGGAAGGGTCTATTTCAATGGAAGCACAATCATCTGTGTGTGTGCAGCTGCTCCTGAGATGCTCCTCTTTGATTAAATAGCAGAATACAAGCAGACTGCATTTGCTTTCTGTCCCCGCAGCTCATATAGTCGATATTGGCTGTGACTGCCTTCATCCTCTGACAGAAAGCCTCACAAATAGTCCCACTGGTTTCATATGTCTGCTAATTCACAGTTTCTTTCACAGAACCGTTCCTCACCAGCGTCCTTATTCGTTGTACCCTCAGCCGCACTTGGAACAACATGTCCTCTCCTCCACATTCACAATAAACAAACAAACACACCACCCTCACTAGTGATGACACGGGAGCTCTCTGGACACTTGTTTCCTCATGATTAAACATACCCTTCACTTAGTTTCCTTATTTCTCCCCAACATCATATTCATGTTTGAACTTGCGCATGATGTGAGGACGCTGCAGCGTGGAGATGCGAAGCGGGACAGGAGGTAATTTTACTCCACTTAACTCCTCAGAGAACCCTTCTCATTAATTGTCTCTTTAATTGTGTTTTGAGCTTTCATGGATTCAGCACTCACATCCCTAATGTGAAGGACAGTAAAGTATAGCCATTCTGGCCTGAAACCATGGGTGATTCCATTTTATAACCCTGATGTCCTAACATCGCACACCTCACTGAGGCAGTAAAAATTTACCATGAAAGATTGAGCTGCAGCTTCTCCTGGATGCCTGTTCTCTGTCAGTAATTACCACGCCATGCAGCTGCAGGAAAGATATGATGGTTTAGCTCTGAAGTGCTGACGGGGTCGAGATAGTAAATATAACCATCGCAATATAGCCACAAGGAAGATATAAGCAGTAAGAGTCCAATAAGTTCAGTAAGTGTGTATTGGAATGACTTTTAGAAAAACAATACTGAGGAAAAAACAACATTGCTGCAAGATGGATATTTAGTAATTAACTTGGAAGTAGAAAAACCTTAGTGACATAACTAACTTTAAAAGAAAGATTTGAATGACTTGTTGAGTTGTTATCTGTATAATAAACATTTTTTTTATTGTTGCACGTGTGTGGTTAACTGTGGACTCATACGTTTGTGTTGTGTTAATTCATGATGGTGGGTGAGCCCGAGGCTTGGTGCCGGTGCTTGGGACACACAACATAACCGGCTTTCAAGCTAACGTGTGACGTTTCAATACG